GTGTTTAACTATCGGTTAATATTGGGGGCTTATGGTGTGTATTCTCCTTGAAGATTATACATATACTGTGCTGTCATACATTTTGTACATATATGTTATTGCTCTAATCATGCTTTGTAAGTTCTTAACTGTAAATATTTACACATCTGGCCTAAATATGTATATATGAAACCATAAATAACGTTCCCAAATTGTGTGTTTAATGGAGATTTGTATGTTGGGTTCTGTGAAAAATGGTTTCAAGTGGTTTCAGCAGCTGGTCTTGATCATCTCAACCAAACACCCAAATCTGTTACTGGAATATAGATATAGAGGTAGCTAGATCCTGTTCAAGATGGTGTCAAGTTTGTAAATAGAATAGACTGAAAGAACCACACTGATATACAGTGTACATGTATACATTCAGTCAAACTAGTCTATAATGGTCGCTGAAGATAGCAGAGATAAGTGGTCTTTGTTGGCAGGAAATCATCAGGAAGTTACAGTGGTCTTTATAGACAGGTTTTGGGTATCTGTTATACACAGGTAAATGATTGTAATAATTGTATACACTCTGTATGATATTTAATTCTTGACTTAGTCATAATTGTTTATATAATCTGAGAATATTATTTTCTGGAATTCAGATAAGACAGGATGTCAGCTTACAACGACAATATTGTGATACAGGGAATGTCGGGTTACCCAGGAATCTTGTCAGAAGGTCTGATTATTTAAGGTTTATATTGGAAATAATGTCAGATTACTGAGGGTTTGTATTAGATCAGCAGGTTAACTAAGGGTTCATATTGGAAATAATGTCAGATTACTGAGGGTTTGTATTAGATCAGCAGGTTAACTAAGGGTTCATATTGGAAATAATGTCAGATTACTGAGGGTTCATATTAAAATGTCAGATTACAGGGAGTTCATAATAGATTGGCATGTTTACTTAGGACTTATATTGAACATAGTTTCAGATTACTGAGGGTGTGTATTAGATCAGCAGGTTAACTAAGGGTTCATATTGGACAGAATGTTGGATTACAGAGGGTGTGTATTAGATCAGCAGGTTAACTAAGGGTTCATATTGGAAATAATGTCAGATTACTGAGGGTTTGTATTAGATCAGCAGGTTAACTAAGGGTTCATATTGGACAGAATGTCAGATTACAGAGGGTGTGTATTAGATCAGCAGGTTAACTAAGGGTTCATATTGGAAATAATGTCAGATTACTGAGGGTTTGTATTAGATCTGCAGGTTAACTAAGGGTTCATATTGGACAGAATGTCAGATTACAGAGGGTGTGTATTAGATCAGCAGGTTAACTAAGGGTTCATATTGGAAATAATGTCAGATTACTGAGGGTTTGTATTAGATCTGCAGGTTAACTAAGGGTTCATATTGGAAATAATGTCAGATTACTGAGGGTGTGTATTAGATCAGCAGGTTAACTAAGGGTTCATATTGGACAGAATGTCAGATTACAGAGGGTTTGTATTAGGAATAATGTCACGTACACTTGTTAATAAATGATAGACATTAAAGTTGACTGTGTACTTATTTCATTACTGCTATGATATTTTACTAAGATATTCAAGACAAAATATATCTACTCTAAATACACAAGATTTAAATCTTCATGCTGTTGACTTGTAGACATGTTTGCACTGTTTATAATTACTGTTGCAGTTGAACTTTCTCCATTTTTCCATTGAATTTCCATGTAAAATACAAGAAGTCCACATTTCTATAAAGTCTCCAAAGGCAAAAAGTTCGAAGTCCAAATTTCTGTTATCTCTTTAAAATTTCCATGGAAGTTCAGAATGATATCCATTTTTAGTCCACAAATATTCAATGGAAAAAGAAAATTTTGCCGCAAATATTTTTCTCCACACAATGTCTGTGGGGTTTAAGATGGAGATTTTCTGGAAAATTCTTGGAGATCCATATCTCCATGGAGAAAATTCAGCTGGTGATAACAATTTATCTAGGACAAATTTATATACTGACGTGTGTGAAATAACAAAAAAAGGAACTCATTTCCTTAATTATAACCTTGATATTAAGATATGTAATTAATTTGTTTTATCCTATTCTGTACATTGACATACTGAAATATATATCCTTACATGTAGTATTGGATGATATCACAGATTTCTTGTTTCTATACATGCAGATGATGAACTGATTATCTCTGTTTAGATAGATTTTGAGGTCACCTGAGACAAAGTCTCATGGAGAGCTATGTATATATTGCAGTTGCCTATTGTCTGGTGTCGGTAACTTTTTAACATTTTTGACTTCTTCTGGAAAGTCTCGAACCGATTTCAATGAAATTAAATGTTCCCGAGCCAAAGATAATCAAAAAGAGTAAATTATAAGACTCCCCCAGGGGCATTGTGGGCAGGGCCAAAAGTGGTCAAATAAACTCAACTTTAAAAAATCTTCTTCTCAGTACCCAGATAAAGTAGATTCAAATACTCTACATGAATGGAAGTGTCTTAGAAGATGCTACACCAAAATTGTGATTTTCAAGGCCCAAAAGTCTTTCATTTACACCCTGGGGAGCAGGTAAAATTATCTACACCTTATATAGGAAAAGTAGATCTTTTAACATAATTTGTTTAATTTCCATTTTAAATATTTCAAACGTTCTAATATAAGTGAAGAATGACGGCTTGATGGTATGTACATATTTATTCTGGCTGACCCCAAGGAGCAGATGGACCCTCGAAAAAAGTTCAAATTTCAAAAATCTTCTTCTCACAGCCAGATATGGTAAAATCAAATACATTTCATGAATGAAAAGACCTTAAAGCTCTTGACAAAAATTGTGAATTTCATAGCCCGGAGACTGGGGTCTCACATTTCCCCTTGGGTAGGGGGTAAAATTTACTCTAGTTTATATAAGAAAACTAGATTTTAGAGCTTAATTTGTTTAATTTCTAGTGGAAATAACTTGGTAAGAATTATTAGTCTAGGATGGTTTAATTATATATTGACCCTGGCTGACCTCCAGGGACTTTAAACTATCATCAGTGTCAAATTTCTTTTATGTGACACTTGAAAGATACTTACCAGTTGTATATTCAATATCGCTTACCTCATGATCAGGTGACCGTCAAGGCCTCTAGGCCTCATGTTTGTTTATTTTTTTTTATACTTTTTCTCATGCAAAATGGCAGAAAAAATAAAGTGTTTTTATCTCAAGATAAAAGTCTGTTCTTCACTAAAGATTTGGAATCAGAAAAAATGAAATGGTTTATAATGAATCAACAGTTCTACTTCAAAAGCTTTCATACCATTTACTCATCAAATACTTTGAGAAATTTCTTTTATGTACATTGTAAAATATATTTTTACAATAATGCATGTAGTAATGAAATAGACATCTTGAGGGATATCTGGGCCAAATGGGCCTTCTGTACTTATTGATAGACTTAAAGAAAAAATTTTATTGAAAATATTTCCTAAAATATGTGTAAGTGACATATAGATTTTGTTGAGTTTTTCATTGTTGTACCCAGATTTCAGATTGAATTTGAATTTATTTAGCCAAAATATTTCACTTTAATTAAGCGAAAGTAAAAATTCAGTTTTGATTTTACTGGATTGAACAAACCATTCACTGTTTTTGGTTTTTTTTTTCATACAAAAATTCAGTCCTTTGTTTCTCTATTCAGGCTGTTAACTAGTACTAGTTGTAGCTAGCATGCTGTGACAGAATATGCTAGTCTTGGTTATTGGCTTTGTAGAATTCACAGAATATCAGAGAATCATGCACTGATGATAAATTTCATATTTTCAAAGCTGGTCATGTTTTTAATTGAGGAAAAGCTTATTCAGTAATAATGTGTATGTAAATGCTTTGTATGGCCTTGTTGCTATTCATTTTCTGATAATTAGATATGTAAATTAGTTTTATAATTACAATACACAATAGATAATTACAGAACATCCATGGATATATCTGAAAATTTCACTTGTAGGTAAAATGTGTCAAAGGATATTTGCATATGGTGACATGATATGATAATCATTATTGTTAGCCATTGTTTATTATAAGAGGTCTGTTATTTTCAGCATGTATCATTATTCTAGATAGTTAAGTTAAAACAGGGTAATATGGGGGTTGGCACACAATTATGTTAAACTCCAAGCACCATGTACTAGCTACTGAAATGTATGTCCCCCCCACCCCCCACTGCACATGTAACAATGGCATGTCCTGATGAACACAATGTGTATGAGAAAGATGACAGAATGAAATATTAATTAGTTTAATTAATTCAAATAAAGTCAATGCACTTCAATGTATTTATAAATTTCACTGCACAGTTTTTATTTTAACATAGAACTTATACTGTATGCATAATAGTTTATTGGCTAAACAACAGATTCACATTTGTATATTTACATATGATGTGTATATATATTACAAAGCTGGCTAATATATAATGAATATTGCAAGTATAAGAGACAACATGTGATATTTATATGGGTCACACTGTGTAATGAAACAATAACCTTGTCTGTGTCAAATCCAGTCTGTTTGCGGTGAATTCATTTTAAACGGCACCTTTTATGTTTATGTTGTGTCACGGTGTGTCATCTAAACAGTTCGTGTACAAACCAAATTTGAAATGTATTTTGATAAATGAGAAATATGATTATGACTACATCATACACAAAGGCATTTTGTGGCACTGTTGTATTGAAATTAAAGACAAATTGTCCCAACAAAAGGCCTTTTAAATGCTAATTGATATATAAATTAGATTTCATATTTGAAGCAATCTTGAAATGCATAATTATTTGAAAATGTGTATGTTATTATTCACGTTAGAAGCACATTTTTAAAGTTCTGTATCACATAGAGCACAAAAAAATTGTCAACAGTCACATGAATGTTTTAGAAGATTTTTTTTTTATCAAGATGAATCAGTTACACTGATTTTTTGTGAGAAAGTGTCACAATTTTGTATTTAAAATGACGTGTTTGCTTGTTTTCCCACAGGGTGAGTCACTGAAGTACTTCCTCGACAGTCTCCATAGGATTGCACAGAAAGTAAGCATCACCACTCACTATCACAATACAGATTTTATCTGTTTACAAAAAATCCAGTTCAACGAGTTTTTAAGTCATTGTAAAGTTCTATTATTTTAAAGACAATTATCAAGCTTAGAACATATGTAATATGTCTTATAAGTTACTTATATTCTTTTCAAAAAGATGTTTACTGTAATTTGACAAACCTGCTGAAGGAATACACTGTATTGTTTAAAAACCTTTAGGGGTTTGAACAAGTTGATGTAATGCATCGTTGATCCTGACCGGCATTTGAATAGAATTTTTAGAGTCTACCTTTGAAAACTCACAACATAAAAAATAAAACAATAGCAAAAATTCTATACATTATACTGGTAGAGATATTCAAAATTTTGTGTACATCACGATAACTGGTTGGGCACGAGTCCAGTATTCAGTTTGCTAATTGTTGAGAAAAGTCTTTTCAAGCATTGATGAAATTTTCAGATAAAAAAAAAAGAAAAAAATGAATTGGGGAATACTTAGATGCATGTACTGTGTAGGTTTTCAAAACATGTTGAACTGAACTTTGATTTAAATGCAATTTCACATGAACCATATTTTACGCCATGATTAAAGCTATCCTCTGACAATTTGTGCTGCTACAAGCCCAGGGCAAGTCATGGAATTAACTTATTTCAATTAAATATCATTAATAAGTAATTCTACTTCTTGACTGTATAGAAATGGGCTTATTACTATGTTTATCCTTTAATAAGCCCAGGGATGGCAGCTAAAAAACAATGACTCAAAGTAAGGGTCAGACTTGTTGCAGGGCCAATTGTATTAACGTTCTTTGTGAACTTGAGACAATATCGGGTTAATTATCAGCCTTGGGCTAATAAGGTTGTTTATACAGTATATCTATCAGTAAGACTCGACATCAGTTCACACTAAATAGCTTAAGTGACTATCACACTTGTGGCTCATTGTAGTCATTTCAACAGGAAATGAAAAGTTGTTATAGGAACGTGTGGTGGCTTGTGAATGAAAAATCGTGAAATTGTCTATACAATGATATCATCTAATAGAGGCAATGAATTTCCGATTTAATATTTATTGTTTTACTTTGTCAGGTTTTTCCGCTAAAAAGTAGGAGTTTAAATGAACTGAATTAAGATAGTAAAACGAACTCAAAAATATAGAGTGTCGAAGTCCTAGGAAAATTAACATCATGCTATTGGTGAAAATTTAAACAATCATGAGGCAAATGACATAACTCAAGTGGAAAACTTGTGTACATGTTGGAGATTGGACCCTCTTATGATTGTATGTCCATTACTAATATCATCAAGTGTTTGTGCTGATTGGATGTGGGACCATCTTGTGTCCATCACGCCACAGATGTGTAAGTGTTAATTGAATTAAGTGGTAACAAATTATATCTCACCATATTTCCTGGTAAATTGTTATGTTCTTTAGGCTGATATTTCCATTGAATATTCCGTGATCTCACATTCGCCACTCAACTTACTAGATTTCGAGGAAAATCTGTTACCTATCCACTTTGTGCCTTGTGGCCATGACAGAGCTTTTCCATCTCGTTTCGTCTGCTGCCACTGTTTATACTTTGGTCCAGGATCTCCAGCATGCTTCATCTTTTTCCTCCTCTATCATTCTCCTCCATGTTGTCTTTGGTTGTCCTCTTTCCCATTTTTCTTCTGGGGGCCCTAGTTAATTTGACATTGCAGTTGTTACTCTTGTCCTGTCTCATAATATGCTGAATCATTTACCATTTGCAGTTTTTTTTTTATCTCTTCACTTACTGGTTTCATCCTTGTTTTTTCCAATAGACCTCCCTGATGTGATCTTGTCACTGTATTGTGTAGAGGCGCTTGTTGTGGAAAACATCAACTTTTCTTCCCCTTAATTAATTATCTTCATCTCGTACCCATATAATAAAGCTGGTGATACTAATGTTTTTTATAGCCTAACTTTGGTTTCCTTTGAAATGTTATTTGAGTCCCAAACATGTTTCAGTTATATAAAAGCACCCCTAGCTTCTGATAGTCTGTTCTTAATATCTTTCCTACCACTACCTTCTTTGCTGACCGTTGCACCTTGGTATGTAAATTGTTCCACTTTCTCTATTTCTTGTCCTCTTTACCTGATGGTGTCCAGATTTCTTGCGTTTATCCTCATCACTCTAGTTTCATAGATCTCAAGTCCTACCCATACTGGCTTCTTCATCTAGTCTTCTTATTTTGTCTTCTTTCTGTTAAAATTTAAACGTTAAGGAGAATAGTGAAATATTTGCAAAATTTAGATCATCCATGTTTTATGTTATCTGCCATCTTATGCCACTCTCACTATTTCCAACTGCTTTTCTCATCACCGAATCCATAGCAACTAAAAAACAAATCCAGACATATTATAATTACATCCTTGTTCCACTCCTGTCATGATGTTGAACTACTCGTTTACCTCTCCTTGGTCCACATCTACAGCACACTGAAAACCTTTATACAGGACAATCATTCTGGTATGAAAAATTGACTGCTAATTGGTGAAATTTGTATATGATGATCAATATAATTTTGATAAAATACTCTATATGCTAAATAGAGAGATTGTCTATAAACACAGACATACTTCAGTATTTAGCTAGATAATTGGTGTAGATAGAAAGCCAGAAATGTAGGGAAATAGGGACAAAATTAAGGTCTCCAAAAAAACAAAACAAAAAAAACCCCCAAAAAATGAGTGCAAGATATGTCATGAACTTTTACTTGAAAGATGATGTCATTGGTCAAGGTCAAGGTCAGCAGGCTAATAATCACTTAAGAATTTATTTTTTGTATTTCTAAGGAATGGTAAAATATTTGTGGATGATTGAAGGTGAAGTAATTAATATATATATCAAAATGTGTTGACTGATACTTAAAGTTCATCCTGGATTACCGACACATATATTTAAATCTTGATGACAGGATTTAATGAAAATGATAAAAGCTTATTTGAAGAATTCTGTTTACTTAACGATGGAGCAGCTTTTTTGTATGTCGAGAGGAAATATTCATAACTATATATGTTACAAGGACAACTGCATTTATACACTTTCTTTGTCTCCAAACGAAACCCACACAGTATATTTTATCTTTAAATAATTCATGGATTTATCACTTGCATCTGTAGTCGTGATTCCTTGATTGCTGTCTTAATGAAAGTTTAATGGTTATGACAGTATTTATTTTTTCATTGCAAGGTTTGAGACTTTTTAGATGTTTAAAGGTTAAAACGTATTCACATCACTGTAATGCAAAGAAATGCTAAAATGCTTGGAGGCATTTCCTCGAGTTCTCCCATTAGAAGTTTAAATGTCTTGTACGCCCACCAGTCTGAGAGGTTTTAGGTGGTAGAGCATTCTCAATGCTTGGATAATTCATTTAAATGTCTTTATTGATCAGCGTAAATGTCAAATACACCTAGCAAGGGAGACAACTGCATCTTCCTTGCCAAGTATGTCTATATATAAGTGTGCAACATACTTGATCATGCCTATAGATGTTTAAATAAATATGATTTCCATTCAACTTGCATTTTCTTGGGTTGAAGGTTTGATTCCATATTTGTGTTCATTTCACTACCCACACTTCTTTCCAGTTACTCTAAAAATAAAACATTTATTTGTTGCAGACCTACATTCCAACCAAGCAGGATATTCTCCATGCCAGGAAGGCAACAAAAGGCATCATAGAGCACACCATTGACATCAGTGGCGTGCCGTTCTTGTTTGTCGATGTGGGAGGTCAAAGGTCGCAAAGACAAAAGTGGTACCAGTGTTTCGAGGGTATAACGTCCATTCTATTTCTGGCATCCTCCAGCGAGTATGACCAGGTGTTGCTCGAGGACAGAAAAACCAACCGTTTACAGGAATCCTGCAGTATATTCGAGACAATTATAAACAACAGAAATTTCAAAAATGTAGCAATTATCTTGTTTTTGAATAAATTTGATCTGCTCCAAGAGAAAGTGACACTTGTAAGTATCAAAGACTACTTTCCGGAGTTTGATGGAAACCCAAATAACCTGGAGGATGTGCAGAACTTCATGTTGAATATGTTTGATTCACGGCGCCGTGAGCGTGTGAAGCCACTCTTTCACCATTTCACCACAGCAATAGACACAGAGAATATCAAGTTTGTTTTTCAGGCAGTTAAAGACACCATTCTTCAGGACAATCTCAAGTCTCTGATGCTGCAGTGAGGTATATTCATCAGTCTGACCCAGGGGATGGTTAGTAATTAAGGTACAATCTTGATGATGCTCCAGCCCTTCTGCCATCTGTAGGGTTCAGGTAGAGAGGCCCCTGGAACTAGCTTGAACAGCCCCTTGGATGTGCCGGGCAAAAGTTAGCTATTTGCTAAACGCTTTGGATATTATAATGTGGCTATTTTTCTACACCCAGTGTTGGATATATCGAGCCAGCCTCTCTCCCACCGCCAGACCAACGGGCCAGATGTACCCAATGAAACAGTGACTGTTTAAACTGCTGACTTGAAAGGGCCTGAAAAAGGTTTCTTATCCCACCTCATTGTATGTACTGACTTTAGTCTGCTATCGCACATGTCAAGGTGCTGTGTTCTGCTACTACCAAATCGGAAGTATTGACCTTAGATAGGGCTTTGATGCAGTTTGTTTCTTATAGAAGTTACGAAATAAATGACGGAAATGTTGCCGCATACGGTGATTATGAACATTTTACTCGTGTATAAAGACCTGCCGTGATTGATCGTATCTTGTGTAACCTGTTATAAATAATGCCTTATAAGGCTGGACTGTCTGCTGCGATCTTTGAAAGCTGCGTAATTATCATAAACCCTTTTCTACTTCGGTGTATTTTTTTTCAGTTAGTTTATAAATTGGCTATAGCTGACAGTAAATACAGCGATACCTGCTCAAGATTGAACTCTAGCGGTGGATCATGATTTCGTAATAAAATAGTGTTGACATATGTTAGTTTGAAGATTTTTGCATGTATGGTGAAGGATGGTAACAATAAGCATATTAGTATTGATACATTTCATACACTACATAATATACATGTATATCTATTTGGGATTGGTGTTTTGTACACATCAGACACTTATTAGCCGATATACATACCCTTTTGAAATGGTTTTTCTCAATGAAGGTAAATATTTTTTAACTCACAGTATATATTATTATCTTGATACAGAAGGCTGAAAGCCTGTAAGCTTTGTGAAAGCAACATGACATTAGGTCCATTGTCTGTTGCATCTTATTGTTAATTTTTTTTTTTAGATTCGCAATTTACAATCAAATTAAGAAACGATCACCCTATTGGCTAGGCTATTTTGACTTTTTAAGTTCATCAGATCATTGTTATTTATGAAATTGAAACTTGCTGTTTCTCTTAAATAATATGTCACATATTCTACCAAGTTCTGCCATGTACATGACTGGTACCCATGTCATAATATTGTAAGACATGTAATACTGTTGTAGATTTTCATAACTAAATGATGTCACAATTGTCTGAACAATTAAATAATGTCTGGCTCGGCTCAAAATGTTTTGTACAGGGAAACTAATGATTTTATTGTTGTTTTTTTTTTCTATTTTCTGTAGAACATAAGTTATGTGATAAATAGGATATTATATTTGTGTGTACGTCATATTGCATTTATCAAACTCGTCCAATGGTTTCATATGGAATTACCTAACGGTATGTGTTATGTTCAGTTCAAATTATTGCACTCGTATAAATATATATTCAGTATGACTTAACTCCTCAAGTAAGACCCTTTCATAAATCTTAATTGTAATGCTTTGTAAGAAATCCAAGATGGCCACCGAAGTCTGAAATTGTCAAACTTTGTCTAACATTAATTTCCTTGCTAGGATTTAGATAGCAAGTAAATACATTTGAGGTTGAGTGGCCCTGTTAGCCTCATGTCACTGGTTTGGGGTTTTAAGGACAGGGTGGATGGGAAAGAGGTTAGGGGTAGGGATAAATCATTTCTAATTCTTATAATTACAAATGCATAAAATGGTTATGATCCAAAGATTTATTTATCAAATTATGATTGGCTAGCACAAGTGATGATGTGCATAATGATTGGATGAGATCTGTGATGATGTGATTGAATGAAAGGTAATTACTTATGCTAAAACCTTTATATAAGCATGATTATGCTTTGACTGACCTCCTGACAAAGTATATATATTGCTCAGTGTGTGATCGCGTCGACCCAAAATGGTTGTGATATACATATAAGGGTACTGGGAGTACACTTACTGCTAGTACACCACCAGTGTCACAGCCTGTATAGCTACAGTTGTATTGTTTATGTGTGACTGTTAATGTACTCCATTTGTTCCCGTGTGAATGCATGGTTAGTGATTTATTATATAAATATATTCAAATTTGATTTATCAATTACAAAATTATGAAATTTCAGTTTTATTTGTCATTTGTTTCCAAGAGACATTCATGATATGCTGCTGTATTGAGGAAATTGTATGCAACATACATCTGTGTGGTTAAGTTATAAAAAGATTTTTAAGAATACGTTTGTGTGTTTATTATAAAAGAGATTGAATTGCATATAGCTACAACATATATTATGAATATAATTGTAGAGTTATGCATGTATTCATGATATCTATAAAAATATCATATTGTACATATATATATTTCAGAATATGTATTTAAGGATGTTGATCTGGCTATCAATACATGTAGTTTTTTGTTTCAAGAAAATTAACATTTACACAACATATACTCACTAGATATATGGTCTGTAACTGAAAATTAATCGATAATAGTTTGTTATATAGGATATTTATAGAGGTACTTGATACAGAGTAAGCTCCATGCCTATCACATAGGTCCCTTATATGTCATGATATCAGATCAAATACCAGAGTGATATTGTAACTCTTCTTTCAGAAATAGAGTTTTTTTACATACAAAAATAATCTGTAACATAAGTTGTTGTGATATAAATCTTAAACTTGACGACTCATCTTATTTAATTAGATTATGTATTTCAATTTGGCAAGATAAAAAGAATTTAACAAAATGGAAAATAAGATACTGCAGACCACTATTATCCCTGGTATGAAATCCATTACAGATTAGCACAACATTTATAAAGATATTTATGGTATGTACCCCTTTTTTAGTCCATCATCATCAGATGGTGGGCTATTCCAATCGCCCTGCGTCCGTGGTCCATCGTCCATCCGTGAACAATTTTCTTATCGCCTTTTCTTGAGAAGTACTGGATGGATCTTTCTCAAATTGCATATTTAGGTTCCTCTTGGGCCCTAGTTGTGCTTATTTGATTTAGGGCTTGACCCAAAAAAAAAAAATGACTAACGGACAGCCATCTTAGATTTTGATAGTTTGAGATTGTTATTTCTTGTGAACTACAGCATAGATCTTTCTCAAATTTCATTTGTATGTTTTATTTTGGTGCCTAGTTGTGCCTGTTTGAGTTTGGGATTGATCAGAAAAGCAAACTGGTCACCAGGTAGCCATATTTGATTTTGCCTTGTAATAATTGTTATCCCTATTGAATGGATATGTCTAAAAAATTCCTATATATGTTCCCTTTTGGTCTATCTATGTGTTTGTTTGATTTTGGGACTGATCAGAAGAGACAAAATGGCTTTCAGATGGCCATTTTGGATTTGGCTGGTAAAGATTGTCTTCACTATTTCTGAAAAGGAATTTTCAAATGTCCTATCATTAAGGTTAAAAACATAGAAGAGCAGAGAAAAGAAGGGAAAAGATCCAACTTTCAGAGAGCAGATACAGAGCAAACAATGGTGGGCACCAAGGTCCCTCTGGGATCTGTTGTTGGCATAATACATCCCCCTATGTTTGAAAGAGCAGAAAAAACAAATTTCTTCCGAGTGCTGGACCAGAGTTGTAATCAGACATTTTGTTTGATAATTAACAACTCTACCAACCTGGCCAATAAAGTATGCTTTATAAACTGAGTGACACAGACTGTATAGTATATTTAACACAAAAATTTAGGACGCACCACAATGACCGGCTACATTTACAAGTGCATTATTTAGACATTGATCCTTCACTTCCTGCGTGAATAGGACGATAATTCTGATGTGCTAACTGAATTGTAGCTAGAAGTTTGTTTTTGAATATCTCTCCTCAGCTGTCTTGTTGATCCTGCTTATCCTGGAATTATGATCACATGTCTTTTACCAGAATCACTTCTCACGTAACAACTGTTAAAGTCTGTCAGATGAAATGTTTTGTTTTCAAAATATGCTTAAAACAGTACTGTGAGTGGAAAAAATCAGATACATGCAAAAACAATTTTTTTTTATCAATAACATCAAAAGTGAAATCCAGTAAGGGACTTGACCTTAATAAAAGAGATATCAAATTATGTCTTTCATATCAAATATTGTAATATACAAATGCAGTGACCAGACTGACACACAAACACAGAACCCCCAAACTGAGTCTGGTTCTGAACTAAAAAAACCAAAACAAAACAGAAAGTATATTGAGAGACCATACCCGTATAAATGCTTGAACATTTGAATGACCCTTTTTATGTACATGTATGTTGATAGTGTATGGCATTGTCAGATCTGCTGTCATATTTGTTGATTACCTGTACATAATACACACTACCCTTTTGTTTTGTAACACACTCATAAAGAGAAACTTGATTGCTTGTTTAGTAAACTACAAATACTTACTCAGGTGATGTGTTTATCTGTAGCTGTAAGATGTTGAAAAAAAGTCACCACATAGCTCACCTATTGGAAGAATAGAGGTACACAATCGTAAACCTATGCTGATATTGGCATTCCCATGTTAGAGTTTATCAATCAGACCTATTCAAGGGTTTCAATAATTTTGCATTGAGATCCCGTAGGGGTCAAACTTTTCAAGATAGAACCTACAGTGAAAAAAAAATCACTTTTAAAATTAATTTTTTATTTGATTAATTTAGAAACATAATTCAAATAGGTGAGCTATGCTGTCAACAGCCATTTTATGACAAAGTTATATTGGTAGAAAACATTGTACATTGTATATTGAAGGTACGCACAATTAACAGATAGTTATAGACAATGATATCCTGTATTGTATGATAGTTAGTGACCATACAGCTGTAATTGGTGATGAACTTTAAATTTGCATTCAGATTTTACCATTTATACTGTGTAGGACAATTTAGGAAATTACTAGGAAATACCTATAGGCTGTCATGTTTGAACCATGTGATGCTCATTTCATTCTCTAGCATATTATATGTAATAGCTGCTGCGACAAAAGGCTTCACACAGCATTGATCATTTTTTTTTGCTTCCAGATCAGCACTAGTGTTAATGCATATTTTATATGATTAAACTTGAACCAAAAAAAAAAGTATTACAAAAAAAAAATATGTATATATATAAAAGAAAATAAAAGCTAATTTTTGATATTTTCAATTATTGGAAAAATCAACTTGGTAAATGCTTACCTGCTAAAAGGTATAATACATTGTATTGTTTTCGCCTCCAACTGAGAAGTTAATGATTTGTAACTGTAAGATATACATACAATTTCATAAAATTGATATTTGGGGCTTTTTACATTTAGATTTATTTCCAGTTTTGAAATTTATATAAATATATGTCTTCGTTAATGAAACCAACTGCTGATGGAACTGCATGCTTCAGTTTTGGCATTGCAGGTTCTATTATTTTCCTATGGTAACTTATCTATTTAAATTTCTTAGCATATTCTGTCTGGGGTTGGTATATCTTGGATTGTATAACTATTAAATGAAATTGAGCAAAACTTTCTTAATCTTAAGTATACAGCTATAATATAAACTAGATATAATCAGATGTATTTTTTTTTTTTTTTTTTGCGGTGTCAGGTTTTCTTATAGCCACTATTACTTGCCACAGTCACAGTATAACAATTCATACTGAAATAGGGAACTGCAGTCATGTTATTTTTTGACATATTGTACATGTTTGAATATCTCCTCTACTCCGTTATCTCAAGCTTTTTAACATTTAGGGAAATTTTCAAGTAGTCATCATTATTTTTTTTATCATTTTAAATTGAAAAAGAGTTAATATGTTATTCATTAATCCATTTTTTTTTTGTGCAATTTACAGAGTAAGATGTCTTGTACTAGATTTCAAGTTCATCATATAGAAAGTTATTTTAGAAGATGTGCAATTTTCAATTTTTTACATGAATTTTTTATGTAAATTCCCTTTTTTTGAAAGGGTTAAGTAAAAAAAAAGTTTGATATGATATATATAGAATCTGATTCTAATTTGAATTCTGGTGAGTTAAAAAAATTTTTTTTTCTTTCCATCACTATGTCTATGAGTATTTGCTTCATAGACACAAATTAACAAATTAACTTGTAAAGTAATCTGCAATCCTTGCTATATTATAGAGTGCTAGAGGTAAATGTAGATTTTTATATCACAGATAATGATATACAAGTATCTGACAGAGGATGCATGCTTCAGTGTATTTGGAGATTCAATCCATTCATTTGGTGATGGTTTGGGTACTAGTTCATTATCACACATTTCAATATTATCTAGAATTTCACAGGCAGACAATTTTTCATTAACTCTGAATTATATAATTCATGATGTCACCCATTGAAGTTTTTTGGCATTTTGCCAGTCAGTCAAATGAAATCAATATGGACAAGACCATTATTAAAAACACAGAGACCTGGCTTTGGTTTCAAACAGAAAGCCTAATGATCTGTATGTGTGTAGTATACCTTTTTGTCTGTATCATACAGAGGTTTTGAGTCTGTGTTAAGTTCCTATTCCTATAGCTAATAACCAAATACATCAGACAGTTATTTTCAAATGTTTATTTCATCGGCAATATTGGGTACTAGGGTATTGATAAATATACTCCTCTGTTTGTAATACAGAGTTATCTGCTCTTGTGAACATTTAAGGACAAAGTCATAAATTTGTGAGACAAAAATGCAATTTTGTCACATAAACTTTTGATATATAAATCAATACCTGCTTACAAGGGCTGAAACTCTGCATTATGAAAAGTTGGAATTATACTGCTGTCACCTGCCAAGTCAATAAATAGTTTTGTCTATATATATATATATATATACAATTATCTAAATTTATTTATTTATCTATTTTGAAACAAATGATATCATTTTAAATTTTGATTATGAATTTTTATCCAGATTTAACAGTACATGAGTTTTATATTTAGTAATTGGTCTTTGGGTGATTGAGTTCAAATGTACACCTTATCAATTCTGATCTGGGTTTTGTATCCTCTCCATCTCTTCACATTAAGGTACTTTATATCAATTAAAGTCACAGGTCAACCAAC